TGTGTGGTGCGTGTGTGTGCGTGCGTGTGTGTGTATGTGAGTGTATGTGTGTGTGTGTGTGTGTGTGTCTGTGTGTTCTTTAGGGTATGGGCTAGCCAGACAACCAGACAGCAGGCCAGCCAGCCCGAAAAACCGAGAGACGTTGGAACTAAGAGAGAGGGAGAAAGACACGTTGGCATTTGCGTGCCTGCGTGCAAACGAGGTTCCAAAATAAACGGACGACACGAAAAAAGAACACTAGACAGAAATACCCCCCTTTCTCTTTTCCACCTTACACACTCACCCATACACACGCTCAAATATTGTGTGCTTTTAATGACCTACATGTAATGCTGAGTGATTACATTATTTTCCAGTACAGGAACATGTAAAATATGATAATTTCCCTCAATGGGATATCTGTGAAATATTTGTGTCACGACGTGGTGGAATCGGATGCTCATCAATTTTTGGAGATGTGGATAGTTTTAAAATTGGTATCGTATGAAAGTTTATTCTCCAACCTTGCTTTCAGTGAAACAAAATAACAATCTATCTTTAAGAGAATTCGAGTAATTTGCGATTGAAGGTGGTGCTTGGTTTCAGTGATAAAACTAGCCATAAAATGGCTGCCACATTTTGGTTATTTCCATATGTGAGTCCGTGGAAACAGAAAAATTACATTTTGTACCTTCAGTCAACGTTTTTCAGTAAAATCCTCACAGAAATGTGTTCTTAAATGGACACAAAAGGTGTTGAGCCAAAAAACGAATAAACAGTTAAAATTGCCAAACATTTGGAAAAGTGACAGTTTCTTCAATTTTAATACATTATTTTGATGAGCACCTGATTTCACCACGCTGCCTCACATTTTATTGCATCTTGTCTTATATCCTTGACAAATAAGATAACAGCAAGGAGGTCAAAGTCCTTCAGCTGTTGCAGAGTGGGCTTGTCAGTGTGCACTCTTAAGGTTATTTTTCCATTTTCTAGGGACATTCAGACCTTAGTTTGATAGATATTTTGAATCATTATTTCTTTTTTTCTCCTTTTTTTTGATATTCATTGTGGAAAGTTTGTCTACCAATAATTGGGTTGTGAACATTTGGACCTATATTCAGTTAACTGTGGTAAGTACATGTATAGATAAGATGGGTAACGCTTCATTAATCCTGCTTTGAAGGAAATTACTGGAAAACACTGTAATCCATCTGCTACGCTCTAAAAAGCTCAATTACTGGAAAGGAGGATAAGCCATCTGCTGATTTAGTTTTGCTATGCCCTGAAAGTTCTGGTTATAACAGGAAAAAAGGAGGCTGACGACCTACAACGACTTACAATTATTTTTCTTCTTCAAGTGCTAGATCTGAATCTGAAAAAAAAATAAGGGGAATGGAGGCTCTCGTGGTTTGAGGTTACGGTGTTCGCATCTCACTTGATAGGTTCCGGGTTCAAAATCTGACAGTGGTGGAAAATGTTCTTCTCTAAAATGTTCTCCTTTCACATCCCTTCCTGCTCTGTAATAGTAACCATGATCTGTCACCTGCTTTCGTCTCCACTTTTTGCCCTCTCCTCCCTCCCGTTTGCCCCCTCCTCTAGGGTCCTGACTATTTCTGCAGCCTTTCTACTGCTACTCCCTGGTTCCGTACTGCTGTCTTTCAGCCACACCCCTGACATGATAAGATGAGATATGATAAGATCATGATAAGATATCATACCTATGATAAGATAAGATACATCTTTGTTGTCCAGATCCTGGCACATTGGTTTGGTGTTTCACCACGTACACACACACACACACACACACACACACACACACACACACACACACAAACACACACACACAAAAATGCACACACACGTAGGCTTACCGTCTCGTGCATAATATTAAATGAACAGTAAAATAAGCACTAATAATCTTAAGTTAGACACATACTCAGTATTCTGCTGACTATGGTGGTAGGTAAGATCTAACCCCTAGCCTTCTCGGATAACGGCGAAAAATATCGGAGGTCTCGTGTGCACGTTGCGCACGTTAAAGATCCCTTGGTGGTCCTATAATCGATAAAAAAAAGTAGGCTTCTGCCGTTACTCGTGCAAAATTCAAAATTCTTACCAAATGGAAAATATTTATATATGTGTCTCGCGTGCTCATATTACCTTATGCAATTGCGAGCACTGTAAAACACCCCAACAAAAAAGATGTTGGGGATATTGGTTCGCAACCAATTTCTCTGCTCGGATGCTTTGATAAGAAAAACAAAATATTTGCATGGTCTTTTATCCTGGCTCGCGTCTATTCAAGTAAGTTCTTTGAAGTACATTATGTAAGTTGCGGTTGGTCTACAAAGCTATTTATTATGGGGAATGAGGATATCTAGGGTCTGGCTGACAAATTTTGGCAAACACTGTGTGTGTCTTAATTCCTGGTGGAGTGATTTTTTTTAAGGTTAAGGAGGTGCCAAAGATAGGTCTTTTTAACACACCACACCTCCTTTCACTCATCAGCATCTGAGGTGTAGTGGTTAAAGTGTCACCGCCTCTCACAAAGACCAGAGGTCGATTCCTGTTTGTGGAGTTCCTTTTATCAAGTTTCCTGGTCTTTCTGCTAGGACTAGGCGTCATACTCCTCTCTGCCCGGGTATGCCCTGACAGTCATGATAAAAGCCCACCTCTTGAACGATCTAAATTGTTTAGTTTTAGTTTAAGTAGAGGTTTTACGGCGCTCGCCACTGCATAAGGTCTTATGAACGCCAAGGGGTGGATGTCAACAGAGAAGTCCTTACAGGCAATCAGGCATACTCTGCTCACCTCTCTAACTTCAACAGTACAAAGTCTGCTTTGACTATCAAGGTTCCCCGGAAATAGCGGGTCACAAGAGTGTGACAAACATGCAAAAGAAGTCGAGGAAAAATGACGGTAGTAAGGATTGGGAAAGAAAAAGCAGCAGTTCCCTGTTGCAGTTCAGGCACAGTTATGAGCATGACATTGATGAATCAGCCCATTTACAATTCAACTGTGCTAAGAACCTTTGGGAATGGCCTAAAGACACTTCAGTCAGTGGCACCGCCCCGGGGGGGGGGGGGGGGGGGTTAGTTCTAAATTTGTCCATACTATAAAAAGCACCTCGTTTTGATATACAGAAAACAAATCAATTACGGTCAGTGACAGCAACAGTAAAGACATTAGGAAGCGGGTAATGTATCGTGTAAGCGAAAGGGCAGATGCTGACCCCCCAAAAAACTTACTAAAGGACTTGAATTAACGTGATCTGAACAGATTAACAATAGACAGCATTTGTG